TCTCTCTCTCTCTCTCTCTCTCTCGCTCTGCAGATCGAATGAGTCTATAATTAAGGTCTACAATTTCTACCTCCTCCTTTTACCCGCAACGGTATATCAGAAACGGTTAAAAACTACGTGTATTTGCTGTGAGTAAATATGGTTCATTCGCCTGACATAATTATTCTGACCACCGTAGAATAAGAAGAAGGATCTTGCTTGGGATTTTGGCGGAAGAGTTGGAGAAAGACAACATATGTATGTCACTTGAAGCGGGAGCTTTGATTAAATAATATACCGGTATACGATGTTCGAACAAGACACTCGAGCCTTATTGGGGGCAGCTACTGGTGAGAATGTTGGTTAGAGAACTACATGGAACTGTAGAATTCTTCGTCACCATCATCATCATCATCTCTAGAGCAACATCCTCTACATTCTTTCAATTTCCATGGTCTCTACCACCTCCACCCCCTCCCCGCTTTTTGAGCCCACTCGAGTTTAGGTCATAGTACCCATCCTTATTCTTAGGCATCGTTTTCAAAACTTTCAAAACTGGCGTATGTGGTGTAACGGTTATACGCTGCACTGTCGCACGCAGGAGATCCTAGTTCGATTCCCGAGTGTGGATATTTTTTTCAAGTATCTCGCTCTTTCTGCTGGGATGTTGCATCCTTCTCAGCCTAGGTTGGCCCTGGCAAGGGGTGTAGGAAGCCTGCCTCCTAAATTGTCTAAATTATGTGGATAGGGGGCGTAAAACATGTACATTACACAAATAAAGACAACTCTTCATTCAAACCCTGAGCCAGAACGAGACAGTCTCGTAAAGGCAAGGCAGGGATGGTCATGAAAACGCCGTAAATGTAATATGCAGACCACGTAGGCCAGCGAGGGTTGGGCGAGGGTCGAGCCGCATAAACCGCCTCGCGTCACCGGCTGACAGTCCAGGGGGATTTAGGAAGAATAAGTGAATAAATGTGTGTGATTTAAATGGGAGGTAAAACGAAGAAGAATAATGGGGTGGGGTGGGGTGGGGGTGAGGAAAAAGAAAAAAATGTGTATGTGGTTTGGGGAAAGGGGGGGGGGAGAGAAAAAGT